ACATTGAACTGGTTTCTTAACGTGTTTCATCCCTGAACTGTAAACACAGACCGCAGAATCGGTGCAAAATGGGTTGTCATAGTTTTTCCTATGTGCGTTTATTGAATTGCGAAGGTCATTCAAGTAGGATCACTGTCGGGCTGACTTTCAGATTATGCATCTTCAGGCAAGAAAGTAGTACGGCGGCAGCCGATCAGAGCGAAGCTCGAGAAGATTTGGTGATGGAATTTTATTCCAGAATACGCCTCGTTTGTTCGGAAGACGGTGTTTGGATCGGCCCAACATGTGTACCAATCACGTGTCCGCCTCCGAAAATAGTTTACATTGGTGTGTACAATTGTACGAATGGGTTTAATATTGGTTCAAGCTGCCAGTTTCTGTGTCCCGGAGCATCTCAGGTTCGGTACTTTTATGTAAATTAAGCAGAAATTCGGTTTTAAAATCAGAAAAAGTACACTTTTTGCCACACTAACGTTTTGTAATTGCAGTACAGATACTCAGCGTGCAAAAAAGATGGCTCCTGGTCGCATCGTTTTCAATGCTCATCGCCTCGTACAAGTTGCTTGTCGCCTCCGAACATGAGAGATTTTCACTTCAGCTGTCCGGCTAGATTGACGCCTGGTAATATTCATTCCATTAACAGTCTTTATTTTTATAGTTGGTGGGGGAACTTATAAAATTTTTAAAAAAAAAATTTTTCTTTTAAGCGACAACCAGCAGCTCAAAATTAAAAGCTTTCCTTAGTTGTAGCCGGCACACACTAATATCGGATCCCAAAATTGGTTGCTGGAGAAATGGTAGTTTCAAAAAATAAACTTTCTGCACTAATATGATGCAAACTCACTGTTACATTATTTTTTACTTTTATGTACAACAGGCATCTTTTAACAGATTTTGATTTTTATATTAAATTTTCTTGATCGGTGTTTTAGAAATGCTAAACTATTTGGACGAGTTTATGGACTGCAATTTCCAATTAACTGCTAAATTTTTTTTTTTGTATTAATATAAAACCTTATTTTCATAAAAAACCTTATTTTCATGAAAAATATTTTAAGAGAACTGATGCCAGACGAGCTAGTGTCAGAACTACCACAGGATGTAGTTAGTAAAATATGGCACAATGGTACATTTTTATTTCTTTATGAGATTAAATAAATAGCAACGCGCACCAGACTAGCCGGTGCGATCATGCGTTTTATGCAATTCCGCCCACCGAACGATTGCCTGTTAATGATTTTCACTACTTTGTAATTTGAAACCTTGAAGGGTGGAACCATCCGCGATTCCCGAGCTTATAGCTTACCGCAAAAATTTTCATGAGGCTGTAGGTGGTACTCGAAAGTGCGGGAACGCTGAGTTTGAATTTGCAAGATCGCGCGTAGGGAGGGGGTCATTGCCGTAAAATTTCAGTCTCGTGGATTTTGTGGTTCCCGAAATAATAATTTACCCGCAAAAGTTTTCACGGAACCGTAGGTGGTACTCAGGAGTGCAGGAATGCAAGATCGTACGTGGGCAAAGAGTCATTACCTTAAAATTTCAGCTTCCTAGCTTCCATGATTCCCGAGATAATGATTTTACCCGAAAAACTTTTACGGGGCCGTATGTTTTATCCACGGGTACGGGAAGGTTGAATTTGTGTTTTTTGGGTCGCATTTGGTCAGGGGGCATACCCATAAAGTTTCAGCTTCCTAGCTTCTGTGGTTCCCGAGATACTGATTTTAACCGAAAAACCTTTACGGGGCCGTACGTGTTACCCGCGGGTACGGGAAGGCTGAATTTAAATTTACCGCGTCACCCGCGGGGAACACTATATTAAAATTCCGGCTGCCTAGCTTTTGTGGTTCCCGAATTGAAAGTGCGGGACAAAATATGGGACACACACTCACATATACACACAAACACACACACGCAGACAACTCCGTGACAATATGCGCTTTGTACTGCTGTTACACAGCACAAAATGCATAAAAAGGAAATATGTGCAGTACGGATGAAAAAACATTGCAGGTGCGGCTTGTTCAGTTCAGTGCCGCCGAAAAGGATATGATGCCGTTCTAGAAGACAAACAGTCTACGCCGAATGGCGAAGATTTGTTGGTACTGCGTGCTGTGCACAATATTTCTTGCACTGTTTCTTCAACACTTTATCCTCGTCCAAGTGCCCTAAGCTGTGTGCGCTCCTGCAACAAGGTATGCTTCGGGCGAATTTTGGCGGTTGATTTGTTAAGTTACTTTTCATTTTTCTTGTCTTTATTTTTTCAGATCTTTCGGCAGATTTTTTTTCCCGATGTTTCCAATTATTTCTAACAGTAAATGATTTTGACCGTTAATATCAACTCCTCCGCATTTTAAGGAGTTAAATCGAGCGCAGACTTAACT